ATTGTATCTGCTTTAAGACTACATCTTTTTGCAGCTATCAAATCGGTTCCACCGGCAAATACTCTTTCTACTGGAACGCTGGTTGCTTTATTAATTATCAAAATACACTTATTAGCTAATGTAATATTAATAATTAAAATATTAATTCATACACATATCTGTAATTGCAAGGTGTCTCTAGCAATTTTCGCTATACTACCTCATTCATCTAACAAAATTATATAAAATTAATCAATATTAACACGTAATCAATATGTGATCAGTGATTTTAATGATCATCCGGGTCTAATACGGGTCAAAACCCGAGTCAAGGAAATGAATAACCCGACCCGACGGGTTAGGTCATGCGGGTCACGGGTTATTAAAATTGTTTGTACCGACCCGATTTAAAATTCACTCGGGTTGAATTATCCGGGTTAGACCCGAATTTTGCGGAGCACTAATAAGAACTGACATATAACAGTATGTTATAGTCATTATAAATTATAATAGCAACTAAACATCCAAACAACATCAAACTTTATATTATAAAAAAAGAGGTTGATAGTAAATTAGTGAGAAATAGGTTTTTATGTAATTTTTAAACCCTAGTTTTTTTGAAAATAAATTAATACATACAATTATTGAATTATTGGTTAAATTATAATATATAAATTCTAATTTTTGTATCTTGTGATATATATAAATAATTATTTTATTGAATCTAATGGATTTTTTTTGAAAACAATTTTTTTATTTGTGAATACAGCAGGCATTATGTGTATTAGTGTCATTTCAAAATTATTGAGAAAATTAAACTTGCATAAAATGATCGTTGATAATGAAATTTATATACATGAGGTTCTTTAATAAAGCTTTTTTATTTTCATCATGGAAATTACTATGTATATTAAGTGCGTAAATACCTTTTAAAAGTAAAAAATATAAATTTATTTCTTCTCAAAATACAAAATTAAACATGTCAATTCTAAATAATAAATTTTCGAGAATTATACAGTATAAATAGATAACAAAAGATCGGCACTCAACTCTGCGCATCAGAATTATTATTAATTTTTTTTTATTACACTGTAAACTTTATTAGTATTGAGATAATTACTCAACGTAAATACAAAGTAAATACATTGTGTTAATAAAGTACCTGTCTATAAATCTATGCTAATACAAAAGATTCTTGATCAATACTATGAAAAAAACCTAGCTATTTTGTCATAAATTTATTCTAGTATAAAAGACTACTCTATTGAAGTATTTTCTCACTACTTCCCTGGTATACAGTTATACGTTTATTGTTTTCATTCAATTCCTTATTATCAGATTCAACTTCTTTACGTACTTTTACCTTTGTTTCTTGTGCATTGCCGTTAATATCTTTGATTCTTTCACTAAAATCCGAATTCAATTTGTTAAAATCTTCAACCTGCTTATCGTTTTGAACCTTTGAATCCATTGGGCTATCCATTGCTTCGAAGTTTGTTCGTCTTTCGATGAAGAATTAGCGTTATTTGCTGGCTTCTTATGAGTTCTCCGATCCTGAATTTACCACCCACCCTATTAATTGATCCTGATGTTTAATTAACAAACTTGATCCTAAATCATTTTTCATATTTATATTTGTTGCCGTAATTACCACCGTACAATAAATATCTGTATATCGTAAGACTAATGCAGATCATGCTTTAAGACTTTATATTCATTCTTATTACTATGTCTTATTACTATATTACTAGAAATTAATTTAACATTACTATCTTTGAATTATTGTGAATACATTAAATTGTTTTCATATAAACCATATAAACATAAGTTGCTGACTACTACTTGTCACCTGATCGCCAACTTGAGGCGCAGCAACATTGATCAGGGGGAAGGGGAACGAAAAAAAAAGAAGGTAAAACACCACCCACACAAAAACCCACACAAGCCCACACTCCAAACCCACATACATAAAGGCAGACACAAAGAAAAGGAGCCTAAGCGAAGACCTAATTCTTTCCCAACTTCATCTTTCCAGGACATATTAGACGCATTTTCTAATAAAAAAAGAACTAGACGAGAGAAGACAGACCTAAAAAAAAGCCAAAAAAAAAAAGAAAGTAAAACACCACCCACACATCCCCAACCCACACTCCAATTTACACTCCCAACCCACACAAGCCTACACTCCCAACCCACATACAGTATGGCAAGCTGAGTTGGACAAAATTATCAGATATTGTGTGGTAAAAAATCAAGCATGGTTAAACAAAATGTCACCCCGTGTCTGCCATTTTACCTGTTTATGCTTGATTTTCATCTGTCCCGTGCTTGATATTTTTATCTGATGTTTATCTGTACCGCCTGTACGTGCTTGATGTTTTATCTGTACATGGTTGATGTTTTATCTGTTCGTGCTGTACTTGATGTTTTTGTCCAACTGTATTTGATTTTAATTTTATCTTGTCAACAATTAGTTTCTTTGTCAGCACAGGGGTGATATTTTATGTTTTTTAAGTTTAGCATAGTTTTACACGAAGAATCTTTTTTATTTTATTGGCTTTTTTTTTATAATACAAATTTTGTAGAGAATTTTTATTTTTAATCTATTTTTGATAAAATTCTTTTGGGATTTTTTTTTTTTTAATAAGACTTTTTTTTGAAAAAAAATTTTGTTAGAGAATTTTTTTATTGATAGTGACATTTCTGAGTTTTTATTTCGATGGATAATTTCGTTAAAAAATTAAAATTTCATTGGAGAATTTTTTTTTAATAAGAATTTTTTTTTAATGATTTTTTTTTGGACATACAGTATACTACCTAATTTGTTGGAACAATTTTTTTTACAGGATTTTTTTTTGATAGAGAATTCATTGAGAATTTTTTTTAATAGGAAAGATTTTTTTTTGATAAAAATAATTTTGTCAGAAATTTTTTTAACAAATGAGATTTTTTTTTTGATAGAGAATTTCGTTAAGAATTTTTTTTAATAGGAGAGAGTTTTCTTTGATAAAGAATTTCTTTTGGGAATTTTTTTTAATAGGTGAGAGTATTTTTTGACGGAGAATTTTATTAGAGAATTTTTTTTTAATAGGAGGATTGTTTTTGATAGAGAAATTCATTAAAGAATTTTTCTTTAATAGGAAGATAAATAATTNGTTTTAACAGGTGAGATTTTTTTTTGATAGAGAATTCGGTAAAGAATTTTTTTTTTTTAATAGGAGGGAAGTTTTTTTTTGACAAAAATTCTTTTAAGAATTTAACTTTAATAGGAAAGAATCTTTGAATTTTTTTTTAATAGGGAAAATGTGTTTTTTTGATGGAGAATTTTATTAGAAGTCTCAATAAAAAATTTTATTGAAAATAGTTTTTTTTTATTAAGTGTATCAAGAATTTTGGCTTGAAAATATTTTTTTTTAATAAAGAATTTCATTAGAGATCTTTTTTTTTATAAAATTAAAAAATATTAAATTACATTAATAAGATTAAGATAAAATTAAAAAAAAACTATGATAGAATCCTAAATAACATAGCTGCTGTCTCTTATACACATCTAGATGTGTATAAGAGACAGAAGAAATACAGTACTATAAAATAAAATAAAAATTAAAAAAAAGCTGAATCATATACTAAGAAAAAAATAAAAAAAAACTATGATAGAATCCTAAATAGCATAGTAAATTAAGCAAATTTTATATACTAGTAAAGCTTCGCATGAGCCCGAGCCAGCTTGCAAGCTAAGCCCTGTCTCTTATACACATCTAGATGTGTATAAGAGACAGTAGTGGCACTTTACATTTTTCTAAAGGTTTTGAATTATTTTATTTTTAAAAAATAAATGAAGAGAATTACTAAACGTCGCCTGGGCGATCATCACCTGGTTTTTTTCCAAATATGTCATATAATGTATCTAATTTTTGATCGGTTATTATTGCAAAAGATATTTTTAAAAAATTATTTTGCAAACATATTTATTCAAAATAATCTTATTTAATAAAATTTTATTTGCAAATATTAAAATTTAAGTCACACATTTTTGATTTTAAAGAAAAAAATAACCATATATATTTATTTTCAATGAAGTAATACAAATAAAAAAACAATAACAATAAATAAAAAAGATAAGTAAATTATAATGATCGAGGAGAAAGATGCTAATAAAAAATGAAATAACAATGGAGTAATGGAAAGTAATAGAAGATGAAAGGGAGTAAAAAAGGGTAATGAGAAGTGATAGGAAACAAAAAGGAGAAATAGGACATGATGAGAGATGAAAAGGAGTGATGGGAGACGAAAAGAAGTGATGGGTGATGAAGAGGAGTGATGAGAGATAACAAGGAGTGATAGGAGACAAAAAGAAGTAATGGGAAGATGAAGAGGAGTAATGGGACAAAAAGAAGTGATGGGAGATGAAGAAGAGTGATGAGAGATAAAAAGGAGTGATGGGAGACAAAAAGAAGTGATGGGAAGATGAAGAGGAGTGATGGGAGATAAAAAGAAGTGATAGGAGACGAAGAGGAGTGATGAGAGATGGAAAGAAGTGATGGGAAGATGAAGAGGAGTGATGGGAGACAAAAAGGAGTGATGGGAGATGAAAAGAAGTGATAAGAAGATGAAGAGGAGTAAAAATTTATTAAAATTGTAAAATTTAATAAAAATTTTCCAATAAATTTTCAATCAATTTTTTATAAAAAAAAGATCTCTAAT